AACCAGCACACACCACAGAGTACAAAAAGTAAATACGCCATGCTTGAAATGCATGAACAACCAGGTCTTTGGCATAAGAAAATAAATCAGTTTTTGTTTCTGTATTTGACTGTAGGACGAAACGGCGCCCAGCCAACACGTCATAGGCAGTTCCAATTCATATTTTTTACAATAGATCGTTTTCGTTCATGCGTCGCTTATATGTCCAGAAAATTTAATCGAGTGTATGTGTGTATTTATATTCTATTTTTGGATTCTTATTTATAATAAATACAACGCTGCAGATTGGTCGTTGAAATTGAGTCTACGGTAAAATTGTTTTGACAAAACGCTCTTCTCCCTCTCACCGCTCATTTGATTATGACTGTAAAGTCAACCTGACATTCACCCACCAGATCACAAGAACTCAAATCTCACACGAGATACAAGCCGGTACCACCCGTGTACATTTTAATTTTCCACACTAGTGTCGTAAACAGGTTACAAGATATGCCTGTGATGTCGTGGCAACTTTTCTTTACTAATGATTTTGATATTTTATCACGGGAATTTCCGTGTAAACACCTGTACTTATAATATACAGTAAACTTTTTTATTGTCGCCTCTACCAATTAGTCAATATTATATGGAAATTTGAGGGCAATAGTAAATACACGTTCTGTTTGCCGATTTGTGACGGAAATATGAAAACCAAAGTCATTGACTTCGTGTTTTCACACTTGCTATATTAGCAGTCTGGAGGAGTAGTAGTTCTCAGGTTTACTGTATACGTGATCAGTACCGTCAATAGACCGACGCAACGGAAACAGGCAAATAAACTTGAGTCGACATATTTTTATCGCGACCGTTTAGCAACACTCTGGCCGTGTGTATCCGGTGGACTCAGTGGCGGATCCAGCAAAATGTATTGGGGGGGGGGAGCTTCGCTTAAGATATACGGAGCGAAAATCGTAGAGAAGCTATGCGTAATCCAGATTATATGAATCGTCCTGCGTTTGGGGGGGGGGCATGGCCCTCCTGGCCCTCCCTCTGGATTCGCCACTGGGTGGACTGCCGCCTTTTCTTGTTGGCCATCATCAACTTGAATTAGTTCTGCGTCATATTTTTCCGACGATGTATAAATTACAGAGTACGCGATGTTTCAAATCATGGCACATGAAGACTGCTCTGTATTTGTTTGAAATTCAATTGCTATGTTATACTTAAACAAGGAAATTGTAATCCGTTCTTAGGATGTTTATATCAGTTGTTGTTTTGTGGGATTAGCGGTACAGGGGGAAAGATAAGCATTCATTTACTCAGTGGACAGAGGCGGAGTTAATTACCCATGAGCACTTAGTGCAATTCAAGGGATTGAGCGGTTCCCCTTTAAGAATATACAACAATCTTCAGTCATTTTATATATGATCACTCATTACAGTAACTAGGAAGGTATACATGTTAGTTATACGGTTGGACTGCGTCTTAAAAACGGGCCAGATTTAATTCGTGCTTACCGTTTCTCAGCTCGTGCTAAGCGTTCAGGCACGTTTTCTTAGCACGGACTAAAAACATTTGACTTAGCCCTTGCTAGGGAGCTGTGTGTGAATGGCTACTGTCAGATGTACAGTGAAATGTCAACTAATCCTTCATATCCTAAAATTGAATAGAGGTAACACTGCATTGCTTAATTCAAAACAAAACCCTTATTAAAACTTTAATAATATTATTACATGTAAATAATATTATTTTTGTAACACTATCAGTTCACAGCCAGACCGTATTTATAAAATATAATCGTTTTCAGATCCATCTCAAAAGATGATTTTTGGGATTTCCATACATCTCGATTCATGCAGACTGTTTTCTGCATATCTAAAATAATATGTAAGTCGTATGTTTGGGTAAAAATGTGTCCGTAATATGAAATTATACCCTAATAGTACCTTGATGGCGTTGTTGAATGACGAAGAAAAAACGTGTTCCAGGTCTCGGAGTCAAACCCACCAGTCTGCGTAATACTGCGACACACGCCATATCTGTAACGATGTCCTCGTGTTAAATTGTGTTGAAATTGCGACGGCATCAACGACGTGTCAATCAATATTATGCCATTCAGAATTAAGACAAGTGACGCAAAATTAATGAATATTTCTTCTTCAACACGTGTGAACTTTTCACCTCACAGATGCCATATTTACATAGATGTGGCGCAGGCGTGTAACAATTTTGACTCCTTAACGACGTATAAAATTGAAATATGTTCCTAAACACAGACGTACTGTATCGGCATGTAACATTGCGATACGACGAATTAGTATTTTGTATAAATAAAACTTGCGATATAAAACAAATATACTAACACTTAAAATGTAAAACGTTGCATTATGTACCTGGTTTTTCTACCATGGAACTTATTTTGAGTGTCATAAGCAGTCTCAAACATAGCAACATCCAATATGGCGGACCAGGTAAAATAATTAGAAGACCAAAGTTTAAACGAGAAGAAATTTCCTAAATAAGGTTTGTAACAGAACGCAATTTCAAGTGTTATATGTCCCATATTTAAATCGCATTTCCGTATTATTATACAAACCTCAATATAGTGTGTCAGTGCAGGTATATGGTGATCAATCAACGATGTAAACAGTGACATTCCAATGACAATACTTGCTTGTTCAAAGTTCACTTCAATATTGTGTCCCCATCTTCAACAGGTGTGATGTCGGGGTGGGGAAGGAGGGCCACTGGTCGAATCGAAAGAACACAGTTCGAGGGTGACGAACTGTTGAAGTCATTGGAAGGGCGTGTAAATATCGAAGTGTCAAAACCACCCGACTACGAGCAGTGGTCAAGATCAGGTGTACAACAACTTTTACAAAAACAGAGGAGCAAACAGGGTGGACAGGCAGCCAGCAGGGCAGGGTCTGGTAAGTCATACATATTTTTGTTACTACAAATTTAAATTATTATTGAAATAGTTAACAAACTACTGTTCTTTGAACAAAGATCGGACCCCGCCTCCCCCAATATTTACTTTAAAATTAAAGCAAGGAGCTGTGATTGGTCTTTGAATGTCATTTGGTATATTTTTCAATTCTATATAGCATTCTGAGCATGGGCATGTGATAATTGTTTGTTCACGACCAGGAGTTTTGTCAAGAATATGTACAGAATGTACATACATCACAATGAAAGAAATTTGTTAGAGTAATTTTGTTGGCAGTGTAAAACCCTGAATTATCCTAATTTCACTGTCTCATGACTAAGGTGAAACAACTTCTTTTCTAACCATTTTTGTGAGTATGTTATCAGAAATATATATACCGATAGAATACAAAGCAAATACAGTACGTCATTACAGAAATTCGTTAGAGTATCTTCTTGGCAATGTAAAACCCTGATTTTTGCCAAGAATTGCGAGATGAGAATTGCACGATGATTCCAGATAAATAAACATTGCTTTATCAGGAAAGTTTGTATTCATGCGACGACTGTATACTTATTTTTATAGAACTACACAATTAATCACTGTTGGGTCAAAGGCAACCGAAGTTATATTATTCTTCTTTTTTTTCCACATATTTTTCCTTAAAGTTTTTTATTTTTTTGGGTGAGTGTGCAAAGATGTAGGAGTATTGTGAACAAAAATTTGCGTGAGAATCTTTCTTATAAATGTTTTATAAATATTTTGTAAATGTCTGTGCAATAAATTCATACCTCAATGAAATGCACAGTTTGACACCGGTAACTATTATTTATTTATTTATTTATTTATTTCTTACGTAAATTACATATCAAATTGGAATCAAATGTTAGTATTACTGATAAAAAGAAAAAAACAAATAAAACTGAACAGTTACTAGTTTTAATCAAATGTACTAAGAAGAAAATATAAAAAAAATAAAACATAATTTTCCGGATTCCATAGCACTGATTAAGAATTGTTCAACTGAATTGTACAATTTTTTTTCTCCAAAATGTGTGTACCTCTCCGCACTAAAAAACCTTTGTATTGAAGGACAAGATGCTCCAAGGTTTCATGAGCAAGTGCAGTTTCCAGCATTGTTTTTTTCCAATTTTCTTTATGAATGACAACATAACTCCACTTATTTGTGCAGACTCCAGCTTTTAAGCGATACCATGTACTGTACACTTGATGATGAAACATTTGATTATGAATGGTTGAAATAATTAGTTTCTCTTTAAAAAAAAATTGAGAAAGAGATTATCATGTTAAATTCTTAGGATCAAAGTATTATTACATCTCATTAGCTAACACAATCCATCCACAAAATTATTATCCCCGATGCAATGCTGCCTTATGAGTGTGATTGCCCTTGTATATTGTGAATATGATACACATAAACACTTTGGTTTCTTTTTTTTAATCAAAGAGGATCACAAACTGATTAAATTCAAGAAAGGTATTTTCATGATATGTACCAATATACTAACTCTCTCTCTCTCTCTCGTGGTTGCACATACCACGAATACTGACAAACCTGTATTAATCTATAGTTACGTTTGCCATGTGTATATCCATCTGTCTATGTGCATGCTAGTGCATCTTAACATTCCTAGTTTTTTCTAATCATTGAATTTCCCAGTCTCATCTCAACCTTGTACCTTGCACCTCAGCTTATCCATTCTCATGTAGGTATGGATGATTGTCACTATGTTTATGTTTCGTCACATAAAAAAGATTTTCAACTAATTTGATCTACCGGTATTAAATATTAGATCAGCACGAAAAAAAAAAATGTTTATATGGTTCGCATGAGTCATGTTTAATTCATTCTGATCATGATGAATTTTATGTAATAATAATAATCTTCATTGAACTTTTATTCTCACTGGAATTTTGATTACAGATCAAAAAAAAAAAGAAATTGTATAAATGACCTTAAATTGGTTGGCAAAAATCTAGCTTAGCAGCTAATGTTTTCTTTTTCAATCAGCATGGCATGTTTATATCCTATTTGTTTCTGCTCCTTGCACATACTTCCATGCAGCTTCCAAAGTAGCGTTCCTTGTTGCACCACCTCCTGACACCTCGCCGGCTACTACTACTACTACTACTACTACTACTGCAACTACTACTACTGCAACTACTACCACTAACACTGCTATCAACAACAATGCAACTAGTCTAAGAACTAACGTTACTGCAATCATACAAAGTGACTTACAATCCACACGTCTTGGAGCAGCGTGTTCCTCAAGTTGTAGACATCCTTGGAACAAGAAGGTGGTAAACTTTGATGAAGACCTTGAGAAACAGAGACAAAAAGTGATAGCCATACTGCAGTTACAGGTGAAAGCCAGGAAGAAATCTGTGGAAAGTTACAGAGCTAGGCAGGAGTTTCTGTATCCTTTGAACAGGTGGCATCACATATAAGAGTAGAACGTCTCAATGATATTTATCATTCACTGATTAACTTCATTTAAGGTGAAAATTTTATTTCAGGCACCACAGTTAGCATATATTTTCTAACTGCACAATATACAGTGAACCCACCAGTGTTCAGGTATATTAGCTTTTAATGATTCACTAACCTATAGACTATAGGACTAGCATAAATGTTGAACCCTGTAAATAATGTGTGTGAACTGTCAACTTTGAATAACACTTATTTTACAACCTATTTTGAGATTTCTTCGCTGAATTTCATGATTTCCTAATTATTAACCATTGCTGATGTTACATGAATCTTTTCATACCATACAACATGTAGACGGTCTATGATTATGCTTTCCCATACGTTGTATTGCATTTATCCTTGACTTATTCATCACAGTGTTAATGACAATATTGCGTACAAAGAAGCCATAGAAGGTGATGAGAAAAGAACAGTAAGTAACAGAAATATTACTTTTACAGCATTCTATGCATACAGAATAGTGCAATGAATTCATTACCGCAGGTATAATGTTACTAGTTCAGTATATAGTCATATATAGAATATATAGTCATATACTAAAATTTATAACATACAGGTCACTGGGCTAACATAAAAATGGTATATAACCATAATCTATACCATATAGCTATGCTCATTTCAATGGAATCTACTGTAATAGATGTTGAAATATGGTCACTCGATCAAAAGTGGTATGATTTAGCGAACATTTGATTACAATTCAGGCCCATTTGCTAAAATGATGTTTTAAAGATGTTTTGTATGAACACAAACAATTGTTGTTGAACCTGATTTTGAATTCCCCCTGTATAATGCAGACACTAGAATGTTAGTTGACTATATACAACTATAACACTTACCAGAGTAAATTAATTAACACTTTTTAATATTTTATTTTTGTTTTATATTTTAACCTTTTTTGTAAAACTTAAATAACCTTCAACATAAAAAACATCATATCTTCTTTAAAGAAATAAAACATATTCTATTAATATTGTACAACTTTTCTAAGTTTCTAAGCAATTGTAAAGTTGCGCCCTCTGCGGTGCTCCAAACCCAACGCACGCCTGACAGAACAATATAGTTTTTCACTTTCGCTAATGATTTGTTGACCAATCAAATTGCAGGAACGTCAGATAGTGACAGCTACAAAGAGTAAACATTCACGGCAGAGTTTATCTTCGCCCAATGTTTATCATCTTGTTGAAAACAGTGAACTTTGCAAATTTGCAGTATTGATCTTGCCGACGAGACATGCACTATTCTGTCACGCGTTAGTGAGGTCTGATGCCGTTCGGCCGGCGAGGGCCTACTCATGCCTACATGACAGGCTACATTAGAACTTGATGCCTAATTATTATTATTTTTACCTACTAGCATAAAGATGTCAAGGATTTACTTAAAAAATATGAAAGATTTCGGGTAAGTATTGATATCTCCGTGTAAATCCTAGATTTGACAAAATCTCTAATCATGTTATGTGATTGGTTTGTGTCTGTTAGGAAGCGAGCTTTGTACAATAAGGGTCAATCATTAAACAGTTAATATAACATAGAATTAATAATTACCCTCAGTAGCATACTGCTATTAAACAAATCAAGTAATGGGACTGCATACAATACATTTTTGCCAGAATTTTCAAAGTTATAATTACATTATATCTCTTTTTTGACAATTTTTTATTGTTGTTTAAAACTAAATGCTTATAGCTTGGACAACGTAATCTTGTAAGTCTTCTTAACCTGTTGGTTGTGTGTTGGTGTGTTTTTTGCATGTTTGTCCACTTACTCACACTGTGTGCAATAAAAAACAAGCAATGTATTCTACAAACAGTACTGTTATAGTTCTTCTTTGCAATGTACATGCTCTGACATTAATGTAGTAATATACATATTTTGACAATGTGAAGAAGTCCTCTGACAGTAAATGATGAAGGCAAGACTTTGATAGGTATTCATGGTCATTTTCTGTGTGTACAGTTGTTTTCATGGATGGATTAATCTCTGTAGTATAGAACAGAGATTGCTTGCAGTGTAGTGAATGATATCATTGAAAGGGTTGTTCATCATTCGGTATCTTTAGAACTGATACTAAATGTACCGGGGTAGTCTTAAATTCCATAAACCAGTCCTAATGACTGTCAGTTTTAGAAACTTTTTCAGACTGATGTCAAATTACACATCATGTTCTTATGTCAGTCGAATGTGTACATTGACTGTAATTTCTAGTATAATAGTGTTTCATACATCTTTCCAGGGTGCTGTACAAAACCTCAATAATAAATTTGACAAAGAGAGAAGTACAGCCAGGAAGGGGTTGGATGAGGTCAGAGACAAAGTTAATGGGGAGCTGGAAGGTGAGAATACATTATTCGTAATTTTTTATTGAAATAAATTCAAAACCCAAGCTATAGTAATGAGGTAGTGTTATTCAACCACTTCGATAAGGAGGGTTAGCCAATACAGTTTTACAGTGACAGAAAAGTCGGTGTTAGCTCGCTTACAATCTCAGCAAAGGTTGATTTTACTAGCATAGAACATTAATTATGCCAAAGCAGATTTTGTGTTTGTCTTATCTGCAATGACCTAAGCCAAATTTCAATGCAGTTCTGAGGTTAAAAAGCATGCACTCCTGGTAGTTTCCACTTAGTAAATTAGCTGTTTTTGTAAAATTTTGCTATTTGGTATAATAAACATAAATGCTGTAAAGATCTGCTATAAATACTAAAAAAATTATACATGTATTATGGATAAAAACTAAAATACTGTAAAATACTTTATTTTCACTGGAATTTATTTTCGCTGAAAAGACTTTTTAGGTGTGCTATATGGAATTTATTTTCACTGATTTTTGGCGAGTTGAATGTAAAAGATAGGAAAAAGGGTATATTCGCTGGATTTTATTTTCACTGAATCATTCCTTCAGCAAAAGTTAATTCCAAGCGAAAATAAAGTATTCCACAGTACACAGTCCCAGGTATAATCAATATATACAAATATATCAATGATCATGTTCAAATGCGTTAGGTGACTGAAAGCCCTAATGTTATATATGTGTGTGCGTTGTACATGATAGGTATACAAAATGAAGTAGATAAATTGCAAAGCACTCTGCAGAGTAAACAGGAAGAGTTAAGAGTACTGAGAAGCTACAAGGACAAGGTGTATCCAGTGAAAGCCATACAAATTGCGGAGTTACAAAAGAAAATTGAAAACTTAGGCAGAGAAAATGAAGTAAGTGTAATTTTATTCATTTAGTCTCACCACTTTGTATCACACAAGTCACAGTTAACATAGTGTGTCTGTCCAACTTCATAGTGTGTGAAATTGTTTGCTGTGGTTGGCTCGCCAAATGTTAGTAGTGAAAGATACGATTGATCACAAACCTTTCTGATTCCAGGATGATTTGAATGAACTGGAAAGCATTATTGATATAGAGAAAGAAAAGTTTGCGAAAGCTAGTCGTGATACTGATCATAGAATAAAATCTGAGGTTACTGAAAAGGCCATTGCTGCAATGCATGACAGCTTAAAGGATATGGCTTTACAGAATATGGTTATGAAAAAGGTAAGTGTTCAGTGTATGTTATGTCAACTATAATAAATACAGGTACTTCAGTTGAGTTGTCCCAGTTTCCTGCCACTCTACACCCCCCCCCCCCCAATAACATTATAAAGAAAAACAGAAAGCGGAAACTACTTCTAAATATATGCCAAATGTTAAAAAAAATACTATATACAAAGCTAAATGAATTTTTAAAAAGTTGGAGGGGCATATCTCCAAATGGGCATGATATATATATATACAAATATGTCTGAAAATGTTTTTGAGATCTGTATATCTACCGGTACACGTACTATAGTTGATAATTTGTATTTACTACCAGTATGTCGTCTAACAGGGCTGATTTTGTAGGGATTCAAAATCAAAGTCAAAATGAAATTCCCAAATTCAAATCAAGTCAGTTTGTTGACTGTTTGGGTCAGTCTCAAAAAAACAAAAATGTTGTGGTCCCTATTTTTTTTAAGTTTTATTTATTCACCAAACTTGTTGTCATTATTTATTGTTGACATGTGTTTTTGTTCTTTAATTGTAGGAGATTGAAGAGCACAAGTTAAAAGTAATAGAACTGGAAGAATACAATATGGAGTTGGAAAAAGAAGTTAAGACATTATTAGCAGACCCCAAAACTGACATTAGGAGACAAGTCTATCCACATTTATATCCAAAAGAACCGTTGTAAGTCATTGGCATATATGTGTACAAGTCTGTACTAAATTAATTTCCACTGAAAAGGCATTTTGTCTGAAGTTAATTTTTACTAATTTTTGATGATTTCAATTTTCAATAGATTTTATTTTCATTGATTCAGCGAAAATAAATTCCAAGTGAAAATAAATTACTTTACAGTACATCTCATCCTCACAGAACATTTGCTTTCTTTTATAAGGATGGATATGTGTGCATGTTGGGAGGGGGGGGGGGCTACTGGTCTGCTTCAAGGACTAACTTTGTCCTTTTATTATTGCGGTGACCATTAATAATAACTTTTTTTTTTTAAATCCACAGATGCACCCCAGATATGGATGTTATACTGGATATCCCGACCCAAGAATGGTTACCCATATAGACAATATCCCATCCTACCTGTATTTTAATTTAAATTTATTTGTTTTTAAATCAGTTTCTATCACAACTGTCCAAATATTTCTGTTCACAGAACATTTTAATTATCCGAGCCAAAACTGACTGTCAGTGTCTTTTTTAACTTCATGCATAAAGACTTAGATATTAGTTTATTGTATTTACAACATATTCAATTGGTGTGCCCGTCTGCATAGGTTCTTGCCCATGTACAAATATTATTGTGAATGCTTGTATATATTTTTTATAGAGATGTGATTTTATATGCCGCCTGTTGACCAGCAGAAATTTTCTGCTCAAGTACTTACAATAAAACATGTAATTCACAAGAATGTGTTGGTATGTGTGTGCTACTGAAATAAATACTATGCTGAGATAGTTGGGGTCTGTGGTAGCCTGGCAACGTTTTTTTACATTAAACTAATTTTTGACTCCCATGTGCGAAGCACAAAATGGGAGTCTTTGCAGTTAGTGTGTCTGTATGTGTGTATGTGTGTATGTGTGTATGTGTGTGTGTATGTGTGTATGTGTGTCCGACTGTTCCACTGCTATCTCAAGAACCATACATCGGTTTTTGATGAAACTTGGTGCATAGATGCTCTGGGCCAATGCGCAGATTTGATTAGGTTTTGGTAAAAATCCATGCTCGTTAATTACCTAATTTGCATGATAATTAGCTAATTTTTAGCTGTTCTATGACTGTTCCACTGATATCTAAAGAACCACTCATTGGATTTTGATGAAACTTGGTACATAGATGCTCTGAACATATGCGCAGATTTGATTAATTTTTGGTAAAAATCCGTGCATATTAATTACCTAATTTGCATGATAATTAGCTATTTTTTAGTGGTTCCATGACTGTTCCACTGATATCTAAACAACCACTCATTGGATTTTGATGAAACTTGGTACATAGATGCTCTGAACTAATGCTAGGTTTTGATTAGTTTTTGGTAATAATCCGTGGATACTAATTACCTAATTTGCATAATGATTAGTCAATTTTCGGTTTTTCCACTGATATCTCAAGTACTAATCATCACATTTCAATGAAACTTGGTACATAGATGTCATACGACACTGCACAGACCTGATAGTTTTTATGGTAATATCAGTACATATTAATTACCTAATTTGCATAATTAATTAATTTTCAGCATTTGATATAAGTAGTTAGCATTACATTTCAATGAAACTTGGTACTTACATACTCAAGGACTATGCAGAGATTGATTGTTTTCGATAAATATTTGTGCATATTAATCACCTAATTTTGCATAATTAGTTAATTTTTGAT